GTAGCTCCTGGCCTTTCTACTAGGAGCAAATAGCTACTAGGAACAAGATTCCTCCCAAGCCATGACGGAGACCGAAGTGGCCATCGCTGCGGGCGCGGCGAGCGCGGCGGCCACCAACGCTGCAAACAGCAGCAACCCCTCAGAGGAGCAGGACCAGTTGCACGGGTGGCATTTGTTTCTGGGCAACACGAGAACGAGAGCAGAGAACGCAGAAACAACAGAAACAGAAAGGTCTAACGGCCGGAAAAAGAAGCGAAACCAAGGCATCGCTACTAGGAGCAAGGACGCTACTAGGGGCTCCCGGCCTTACTACTAGGAGCAAGAAGCTAGTAGAAATTCTACTTGTCCTCAACTCCGAAATGTGCAGCGCCCTTCTGCTACGAAAATCAGTTGAAGGCCGTTAAGGGAATTTGGCTTGTTATTGACAACGGCCTCCAACCTAGAAGCGATGGCCTCTAACCTACTAGCTTTGTTCTTGACGACCTGTTTGTTGTGTTGCTTTCTTGTAAACAATTCTAATAGCAATGGCCTTCACCCAAAGAACAGCGCCCGCCAGTGAGGTCCAAGAAGGAGGCAGAGTACATCTCAGAGATTTGGGACATGTACAAATCGCTCAACATCACACCTCACCCGCCGGAAATAGCACCCTTCAAGGTGGAGCAGTCTCATGGATTCCTGGGCAACTACTACAGAGCAGCATTTCCTGTGACCCATTCCGACATCCACATTCCAGATCCTCATTCCATTGGTTTCATTGGAAAGGATGCCAACAGTTGCTTAGCCGATCCGATCCGATCTTGTTCCGTTTGTAGCGTCCTTGCTAGTCTGGTGAATCCTTCCTTTCAAGCGGTTGTACCCCTGATCCACTATGAATCTTTCATTTTTAGGTTGGAGGCCATCGCTACTAAGGTGGAGGCCATTACTAGTAGCAAGAAGCTACTGGGGTGGAGGCCATCGCTATTGGGAGACTATGAATCATTCATGTCTACTCCGCTCTTGAGAGCTGTCCTTCCCGCGTCCGCAAAAACACCTTGAGCCCTCCAAGTGTACTTGGGCTCAGGGATGCTACTAGTAACAAAGGGCATCGCTACTAGGAGCAAGGACGCTACCAGTAGCTCCTGGCCATACTACAAGTAACAACAAAGGTACAGCTTCGAGTATTCACTCAAAGTAAACAACCCTTGTCACCGAGACAAGACAAAGCCCAGTCATTTGCGGAAAGAGTGACACGCAACGGCCACCAAGGGAACCCCTATTTTCCGGGATTTTTTCAGGCTTTTTCTAGGGATTTTATTTTTTTCGCGTTTTTTTCCCCTACTGCTTTTGCTTTTTGTTTTCGCTTTTGCTTCTGCTTTTGCTTTTTGCCTCTGCTTTTGCTTTTGCTTTTTGCTTTTGGCCTTTGCTTCTGCATTTGCTTTTTGCCTCTGCTTTTGCTTTTTGCTTTTGGCCTTTGCTTCTGCATTTGCTTTTTGCTTTGCTTTTTGCTTTTCCTTCTGCTTTTGCTTTTGCCTTTTGCTTCTGCCTTTGCTTTTGCTTCTGCTTTTGCTTCTGCTGACTATCTTTTTCGCATTGACACTGCCACAAAGTTGGATGATAAGACCTTCACCTTGAGCTTTGACACCCAATTACACCAATCAAGAAACGAAGCAGCCCAGCGCTGTCGTGATTTGCATTGCGGGGGGGGCGCTGCGCCCTCCCCCCCCCCCCCCCCTCCCGCTTTTTTAAAATAGTTGCCACTACCGTTGACCACCCCTACTATTTCCAATACCTCTAGCACTCGGACCACCCCGCTACGAGTCTTACCACAGTTACCACAAATACTATTTTCTTTGCGTTGACGGCCACAAAGGTGGATTTCTACTTTGCTTAGCCCAAAGAAACCCGAAACCACTGAAACCCAAAGACAACCGCAGAATTGTCCCTAGTATAGTTCCTCTCTCCTCCTACTTCTCCTTCGTTAAGTGGGATGCCTTTTCCGGAAGAACGCCTAAAGAAACCCTAAAGAGAAGAAACCGAGCCCAAAGAAACCCGAAACCAGTGAAGCTAAATACAACCGCAAAGAAGTCCCTAGTAAGTGGAATACCTTTTCTGTTCCCTCCCTTTGTCACTGTCACGCTGGCTTTGGTGCTTCGTCCCCTGCCCTTTCTGCTGCTCCTAGTGCTTGTAAAGCCCTCCCAGCAGAAGCAAAAGCAAAAACAGTAGGGAAAAAACGTGAAACATCACGGAAACATCTGAAAACATCACGGAACATATCAATCCTTTAAGCGGCTGATGTGCTTGCATCTTTGAACCAGACCTTGCCCCCAAGACTTGTCATTCCTCAAGGCGGAGCAAAAAGACATTTCTATGCAACACCGACTCAAAGAACTCCCCACCGCTCCTTCCTATCTAGTTCTTTGATAGGAAGGGGAGGTTTGTCAGTCAGAGATCCTGGGCCAGCTTTTGGCGAGGTTTGTCAGTGACCCTGCGAAATTTCAAGCTGACAGAGATCCATGAGGAACATCCTAGTGACCGACATGCGACTTGGCAAAAGTCACGCCTGAGTTTTGTCGATGCTTTTTCAAACCAGAAACTTGAAAATTCTTTTCTTCTATTTCCCTTCAAACTTATTTCAGACCACTTCAGACCTGTGCTCTTGTTTCACTTGCAGAACTTTTAGTTTAGGAATAGTAATGCAGTCCTAGCGGACTTGATTCAAGGTGTAGCATTGTTTACTTGAAGGCTATTCTTTGGTGTTTGAAGGATAATCACAACATTTAAAAAAGACATTGCGCTTGTTTACACCAATACGCTGATTGAGCGTGCCGAACGCCACCCTATGGCTGAAAGTAAAAGAACGCGCAATGATTGGGTCAAAGGTCTGGCACACGCTCTTAGGTTGGAGGCCATCGCTAGAAGGTTGCAGGTCATTGCTACTGTTTCGGTTGGAGGCCATCGTTGGAGGCCATCGCTATTAGGTTGGAGGCCATCGCTACAAGGGTGCAGGCCATTGCTAATAGGTTGGAGGCCATCGCTAGTAGGTTGGAGGCCATCGTTAATAGGTTGGAGGCCATCGCTATTAGGTTGGAGACCATCGCTATTGGGTTGGAGACCATCGCTAGTTGGTCGGAGGCCGGAGGCCATCGCTAGTAGGTTGGAGGCCATCGCTAGAAGGTTGGAGGCCATCGCTAGTAGGTTGGAGGCCATCCCTATTGGTATTTGGTTGGGGGCCATGGCATTTAGGTTGGAGGCCATCGCTATTGAGTTGGAGGCCATCGCTCTTAGGTTGGAGGCCATCGCTAGTAGGTTGAAGCCCATCGCTAGTAGGTTTGAGGCCATTCCTCTTAGGTAGTAGGTTGGAGGCCAGCTATTAGGTTGAAGGCCATTGCTATTAGGTTCGAGGCCTTTGCTTTTTGAAGATCAACAGACTTGGTCGGTCTATAGGTCATGGTGTCAGAAAGTGATCTTGAAGCAGCTTAGAGACATCTCCTGGGCAGGCTGCAGCCTGCTTGGTGGTCAATGAGTTTCACCATTTTGTGAGGAAATTGGCCAAAGAGATGAATCCTACAAACGAGGCGCGCAAGAAAACCTGACTGTGAATTCCTTGTGTACACTAGGGTGGAGGCCATCGCATACTAGGTTGGAGGCGATCGCTTCCCTTATCCGGACAAGTGTCGTTCAACAAGAGGGTCGTTTGTTCGCTCATCAATGAATTGCTATGATGCAAAATGTCAACTTCTATTTTTGAGGAACTAGCAACACCTGTGTACTCCAGGTGATTTATGATATCAACCAGAGAATCCAGCTTATCGAGTGCTTCATCACGCGCTGCAACATTGCCATGCACAAGTACAGACCTTTCTTGGCACTGATGGTTAGGTTGAAGGATGAACTGCAGCAAATTATGAACCTTGGTTTCTGTTATTGCCAACGTAGCAGATAGATCTCCGATATTGGCCAGATTGTTGGGCTAAAGAAGAGCCGATTGCCACGGTTTGAATGAGGAATCTTTGGCCTGCATTCCGAACCCAGCAAAAGCTGCAAGAGCAAATCAGGAATGTGAAGCTCCATGTGGATGCAGTCGCTTGCAGTGGGTCAAAGTAGCAACCAATTTTGAAGATAATATGTTCCAAAAAATCAGGTCGCGCTAATAGTGTGCTTGTTACTGCGGGGGCAAAAGACAGGGTCTTGAACAGATAAGGCCTTTATGTACGTTTCCTAAATCCTCGGAACCTCGGAGCCACATGAATAGTGCGCTTCCTTGAAGAAGCGCGAGATATCCTGCGTCCTGGGTAGTAGCTACTTGTAGGTACAAGCTACCTCTCCCCACTAGCCAGTACTACTTCACCTCTACTAGCGGCCTACCCCCCGCAACAACAGTGGAACCATCTGAGATTCGGAATCGCGCCGCAAAACCAAGGGTGACCTCAGCCATGTAGATGGTGCAGCAGTCCTCAGTGAGCTGAGCCCCCAAAACCTGAGCATCCCAAAATCGATCAACTGGCAGATCGCCTCAGGCATAGAACTTTGGGAGCTACTAGTAGCGATGCCCTTTGTTACTAGTAGCTTCTTGTTCCTAGTAGTAAGGCCAGGAGCGGCCCTAGTAGCGATGCCCTTCGTTCCTAGTAGCGATCCTGGATGCGTGTAGCGCAACACTGCTCCATCGAGAGCCCAACGGGGGGCGGCAGAACTTTGACCATGGTGGATCCTACCTCAAACCTTCCTCCGCTGACGTAAGACCAGCTGGGAGGCCTTTGGGCAGCGCACTTTGTCCCTCCGCTTAAAAAAATAATAGAACTTCTTAAATTGCAGTTTTCAAGTCAAGCCTTCCATTCTTTTTGAATAAAAATAAGACATAACTGTTTAAAAGCTGTCTTTTTTAAACTAACTATAATCCTTTCTCTCTACCTTCACTTCCGAGGCGTTGTTGCGCTTGTTGGGCTATTGTTTCTACGTGTTGAAGTGCGAACCGGGCGACTTCGCCTTCGATCCACAAGATTGGCACCCGGAGATCCGAGACACCGAGAGCGTCCACGACAAGATCATGCATTGGACGCTCAGTAACAGGTGCCACGCTAGTAGTAACAAGTGCCTTACTACTAGTAACAAGAAGCTATTAACTATTGGAATTAAAATTTAACTAACTAGTAGCAAACATTGTTACTACTGGTAAGGCACTTGTTACTAGAAGCGATGCCCTTGAGCCCCTAGTAGCGATGCCAGGAGGCCCGTTCGTAGCTTCTTGTTCCTAGTAAAAGAAAGAGAAGAAGGTGAGCGGTGAAAGAGAAATTAGAAAAGAGTGTTTTTGACTCAGAAGTTTTGTTAAATAAGTAACAAGATATGTAAAACAAGTTAAAGAGAACAGAAAAAAGACATGTTATACTTTTTGAAAGGTCCAGCCTTTTACGTTCTGAAAACCGCCAGAGCGCTTTTGCACTCGGTCTTTCAGTGATTTTGCAGAAACGTTACGTTCATTCTCTTAGAACTCCCAGGTTTGAAAACAACCACAGCTTTCTTGTTCCTACTAGTAAGGCACTTGTTACTAGAAGCGATGCACTTGTTCCTAGT